TTACATATGTAATGAGATGAATTGGATCACACCCAACCCACCCAACAAATGTGGATTATGTAGACAAATTGGTCATAATCGCTCTACTTGTTCCCAAAGTATGGCATCCAGACGATAAATTGTGTATTTTGCTTACGTAAAAAGAAAATTATACGTATAATGATGAAATGTAAATGGTTTTTGTAATTTTTTATATTATGCGAATATTTATTTGTTATGTTGTGTTTAAATATTTGAAAATGGCACAATATCCAGAAGAAGTCATTAACCCTGGTCTAGAGGATGACTCACTTTTGTACTTACAAGCTCAACATATTTCGCAACAAGTTTAGAATGAAAATGTACGTAATCTATCTTAACTAATGCTTCTTAATTCTATGCTTTAATACTAACTCTTTTTTTTTCCTCTATAGGTTTCTCGAATCCTACACACTAGATGAGTCATGCATTTTAATCGAATGATTGAGCCACCCAATCAGATACTTGAATATCTTAGATTAGCTGGATTTTATGGTGTTGTGTGGGTAGGGCAATTTGATTACGACTGGAGTTTGGTCTCAGCCCTTGTTGAGATGTGGCGTCCTGAGACTCACATTTCATGCTACATGTGAAGAGTGCACGATAACGTTAAAGGATGTTGCTATATAGTTAAGCCTTCCTTGTGTAGGAATGCCTGTCATTGGAAAAACTGACTTTAATTGGCAAGATGTTTGTGAATGGCTTCTAGGGGTTAGACTACCTGTAGATAGAATACTTAGACAGCGACTACTTATGAATTGGTTGGAAGATCACTTTAATCACTTACCCGATGATGCAGACGATGTACAAGTTCAACAATTCACTTGTGCATATATTCTCAGGTTGATTGGCAAATATCTCATGCCAGATAGATAATGTACTAGGGTGTATTTGATGTACCTTCCACTACTTTATAATCTAGAAGAAGTTGGAAATTTTAGTTGGGGTTCAGTAGTTTTAGCTCACCTGTACAAAGAATTATGTAATGCTACTAATCTAACTGAAGATAGGATTGGAGGGTGCTTATCATTATTACATTTATGGGCATGAGATCATTTTTCCTATGCTAGCACTACAACAACCTATATCTCCAAATTCACAGTCTAATATCTACCCTCTCTTACCTCCTTTGGGTTTCAGGTATGTCAAAATCACACAACAAATATTTCATATGTACTTATTATCAAAATTTTACAAATTTTAACACTATTTTTTGTTGTTGTTGATAATGCTAGATGGAAAAATGTAGGACAAAATCCTCGTCCAAGTTTCACGTCCTTACACCAATATAAGAGTCTCCTTAATAGAATGATCGATGATGACATCATTTGACAGCAATATGAATCTTCTGAAGTGTACCAATTGATTCCAAAATATTGCTTGGCAACACCTAAAATTTGGCTTGCTTCAGTTCCTCTAATATATTTTCATATTATAGAATGACATCACCCTGATCGTGTACTAAGACAATTCAGTCATCAACAACCTATTCTTATCATGCCTGTTCATTTAGGAAATTATCATACAATACAGCTACGTGGTAGAATAACCAAAAATTGGACTGAACAATACTCAAACTTCATTGAAGCATGGAATAGATGCCCACATGCTGTTGTTGATGCTCCTCTGGCACTTGGTGAACTTGATCGAACATCTGAGTACATGCAATGATATTGGAGACATACAAGACGATGGATCTAACGTGTTGGTGGTGACACTGGCTATGTGGTAAGGTTTTTTTAGCTTTTTCAGATCAATATCATCATTTTCTTTTATATGAAAATTTTTCCAAACCTAATGTTTTATTTATTTCAAGCTGACAAAGCAGAACAATTATATAGGCTAACAATTAATTGTCATTCAAAATACTCTGATTGCATTGATTATCTAGAAAGAGTTGCTCGAGACCAGCATAACATCTTACTCATAGTTAGAGAACAACGATTTAATATAAATTCTCAACAAGCTCCACAAATAGTTGAGCTGTCCCGTCCACAAATTTCTCGAGATAGACCAAGCAAATAGCGAGGTGGTTATTTGTTTACTCAACCACTAATTGTAAATGAAAATTTAAGTGAACAAGAGCCTCAAATTTTAGTCATTCCAATAACATACCAATCTTATCAAGCCCTATCACCTCTTCCAATCCAACTCATTCTTACCCTTATCACATGCCATCATCATCGACATTATCCCATTCCGACTCACCCAATCCTTCTCAATTTCAGTCATTTATGTCCTTATTTGATGATCCTGCATTATTTATCAATCAATATAACACTTCTTCTTTTAAGCAAGGTGGCCCATCAAATGAGGCATTTATCACCTCTTGACAATCAATTTCTTTAATCGAATCACCTTGGTTTGATTTAAATACGCTAACTAAGCAGGCAAATGAGACATTAGATCAAATTCAAGAAGTAAATATACAACAATGACCATAGCGTGTGCAGAGGAGACCAAGATGTGGCACTAGGAGTCATTATTTGCGAGGTAAATTAATTCTTATTTTTGTTCATGTCAACTTAATTGTTATTTGTTATTAATTTTATAACACTTAATCATTACTTATTTTCTTTAATCACTTTTTAATTAATTTAATATTAATTATTACTATTATCATTATATAATTATTAACTCATTATTCTAATGATATGATCATTATTAACATCCTTGTAGGAATGTTTATATGGTGAGAGATTGTGAAGAAGTTGTTCAAATGTTGATAAAATTTAAAAGTTATTCACACCAAGATGAATTTCAGCTGGACGGAAAACAAGATTTATTAGAGAAATTGTTCTTACTAAGATAAACTTTAAAAGTTGTTCAAGCCAAGATGAAGTTCAGCTACACGGGAACCAACGTTCATTGAAGAAACTATTCTTATTAAGATGAACTTTTAAAGTTGTTCAAGCCAAGAACAACTTTAAGTGTTGTATTTGGAGAAATAATTCCCACTATGTAGCATTTGAAGAATTTTTTTTCCTGTTAGCAGCGTTTTGGTAAAAATTCTCCAAGTAACACAAAGCTGGGTCCAATTGTAAAGCCCAAAACATGCAAAATAAAAGCCCCTTTCACTCCGTTAAGTGAGGAGAAGGCTTCTGATGAGTGGGACTGTCGAATGCCTTATATAAACATAATTCATACTACACACTCACATGCCAAAACAAAGTATTCACGCGTGAGAGACAATGAATGCCTGCTCTATATTGATGGGAATATTTGGGGAAGGAAGGAGCACTTTGCATGTGGCTTAAAAAGGTAGAAGTATAGTTTGGTAAAAAATAAAAAAGCTAAAAACGCATGGAACCCGCATGGAGTGTAAGACAAATGTGTATAGTGGGTCCTAGTGAAATTGTTCAGACCAAGAACAACTTTCATTTTGTGATGTGGGTCCCACTGAAGTTGATCAAACCAAGAACAACTTTCATTTTGTGATGTGAGTCCCACTGAAATTGTTCAGACCAACAATAACTTCTATTATTTTGTGATGTGGGTCCCATTAAACTCGTTCTTGGCCTGAATGGCTTCTATACAAATTTAAACTCGTTCACCATCTGAACGATTTCAGGTATAGTATTTGAGTAAATATTTTTGATCTTATAGCATCTGTGTAATTTTTTTTTATTGTTTGTTGTATCTAGATAAAAAAGCCTTAAAAGAGAAGAAGGAAAAAAGAGTTTTTTTTTTTTGGCTTTTTAAACTTTATTTGATAATTGCAATTTAAGATCTATCTCTCCAAACAATTTTCTTTATTTTGGTGTCCATTTCGCTATTTTACTATTTTAAGGGTTTTTTTAATGTGATTTTTCCTTAATTTTTTTCCCAATATATAGTTTGAAAATTCTACACATTTTTTTATAGAGGGTAATTTTGGGGCAACTTATAACAAGGGAAATTCTAATGAAATGAGGCTTAAATTCACAAAACCCCAAATAGTCACTTAAATTTTTAAAATCCCAAATTAGTCATAATAACTACATTGAAATTTTGGAATGTGTTTTTTTTTTAAAGCCCTCAAGCCAACTCACAGTTAACCGGCAATCAAAGCTATGGCACCAAAGTTCAGTAGCCGTCAGTCACTGAAGCTCCACACGATCAACAACTATTTTTGAAATTTTTTTTTCAAATTTTATAACGTAATTAATAACTCTTATAACAATATACACAACTTTATTAACATTATTAACCATGTTTTTTAGGTTTTTAAATTAAATTTTTTTCAACATTCATAACATGATTAACAACTCTTGTAATAATATTCGCAACTTTTTTAACGATCTTAACCACATGTTTTTCAAGTTTTTAAATTGGAGTTTTTTCAACTTCCATAACGTGAAAAACATGTGGTTAACAATATTAATGAAGTTGTGAATATAATCACAAGATTTGTTAATCATGTTATGAAACTTGAGAAAAATCTTAATTTATAAAAAACCTGAAAAATACATGATTGATAGCGGTATTAAAGTTATAAATATCGTTATAAGATTTGTCAATTATGTCATAAATATTGCACAATTTCTAATTCAAAAACCTGAGAAACATGTGGTTAATACTTAATGGCGTTAATAAAATTGTAAATAACCTTATAAAAATTATTAACCACATTATTGAATCCTAAAAATAGTTGTCAGTCATCAAAGTTTCGGTGACCAACAACCACCTAAGCTCTAGTGCTAGCCACTGACCACCAGAGGTTGCTTGATTTTTTTTTTGGAAAAATTAAAGGACAACACATTTCATAATTGCAATTTAGTTATTGTGACTAATTTAGAATTTTGCAAGTTTAAGTGATCATTTGGGGTTTTGCAAATTTGAGTGTCATTTTATTAGAATTTTCCCCTATAACAATTTTTTTTGGGTTAATAATTGTTGCCACTAATTCTTTTCCATTGCAATTAAGACATCCTAAATAGAAATTCTTTCTATTTTTTTTCCCTGGATTAGAAGGTTTAGCAATAATAATACGAGATTATAAGTAGAATCAAACCCATAACTTCCTATTCATAAGAGAGCATTTATGCCATTAGGCTACAAGACTGTTGACTAAATAAAAAATATTTAAATAAGGGATCACATTTTATAAAAATTAAAAAGAAAAGAGTCGGTTTGTAAATGCAGAGCATCACTCTGTTTCTTTTACTGAACTACGAATTGTTCCTGTTTTTCTTTGTGCTATACGTAAAAAGGTTCAATGGCAAAGCGGTAAGGTACTTGAGAATTCTTTAAACTGTATAAGTGCAAATGTTTTCGTTTTCTTTAATACAGGAAAGAAGAATGATATACAACAACATTCATAATAATGCTCACCGTAAAGAATGTCAATGATGCGAGTGAGATCTTTTCCTGAGTCTGCACCACAACCCATTTTTTGTGTGGATGGTTGCCCCAGTAACTAGTTCCACCGACTCAGGATTCCCCTTTAATTCCACATCAAAATTTTGCAGCAACATAGCCAGAGCTACAGTGGACTCCATGAGAGCAAATTGGTCTCCAACGCATTTTCTAGGTCCTCCACCAAACGGCAAGAAAGCAAAATCTGACATAATCTGATCAAAGTGCACATATTGCCCAATTACATTCCAGAATAAATCATGCTTCAATGAGAAAATTAAATACACTTTAGTTTCTCTAATGTTCTCCAACATTAAAAGAAGTCTTTTCATGTTAGTTTTGTTCCAGTGATAACAAGAAATGATGTTGCTCTTAACTTGCTTATAAATTTGATCTGGGCCCAATGAGCCTGCTAAATGATGAGTAACCGTGTGAAATCACATTATTTCTTAATGATGAAGAACATTAACTCAATAGGGACTAAAATGTAACTTCCAATTCCATAATGCCAAAAATGTGTATCTAAGCTTTCGATAAAGCATGGGATTAGAAGCAACCTCATTTGGATACAAGGCTCCAGGACTTCGGGATGGATCAAAGCCAGCCCATCCTTCAATTTCTTCATTCTTTCTTTGCACCAAAAATCTCTCTGGCTCGAATTCATGAGGAGAGTCCCAAAAGTATGGAGATCTATGGAGGTTATATACCTGCATTAGGGAATCTTTGAGCATCTACACTATCATCAACACGGGAAATGAACATGTTGCAAAACCAAGTTATAGGGGTGTCCCCGCACCCACATATACAGGCCATGCATGCACGCATGGACGGGTATATGTATGTTATATCATTGTGATCGTCCCCCCATATTTAAGCAATCAACAGAATTTAAATTTAAATTCAAAAGTTGTAATCTCTAACATAAGAAGTCTTGAATCCCTAATTAATAATTACAATACGGCTTCCATGGTGTTGATAAATTAAAGTAAATACGATTCTAATCTACAGAACAGAATAATGCATGCTCCTGTAAAACATGATAGGGCACTAAACCAAAAAAAATCCATGCATTTCAGCCGTCAAAAAATCCGTACTCACAGATATGAAGAGATCGGTCCCAGCTGGAATGGCATAACCATCTTTAGCTCCTTTGTATCCTCCTGTAAAGAGAAATAAATCCTCACGGACTATTGAGAAACAATCAAAAAAGAAGAAAGGAAAAAAAACTAGCGAGTGTAGGATGGATGTAGAAATTGATTTTGGGCTATAGGCAGCTGTGGAGCAAACTTTTTACATGACAATGGGTTTGTCTTCCTGGACCAAAACTCTTTATACATCCAGAGACTTTATAAGCAGAGTGACAAAAGGTGCTTTGAAGCTGTATCACACGGGATGCGTGCAGTGGCTTTGGAAGGCGTTTAAGGTCCTCATCTTCAAGATCTACTTTCATGGGATAGGCATACGAATTATCTTCAACATGAGCTCTGGCTTTATGCTACTTCAACATAGTTGTCTCCAGAGCATTGGCTCAGTAAAATACAGTCACCCCAATTATTATTATTATTATTATTATTTGATTTTAAGCTTTGAAGCTGAAAGTTTGGTTATTTTCCTTTTCTATTCGTGTTTGCTCCACAACAGAGACGTCCCATTTTCATGAGGGGTTCAACGAAGAGCAATACCTGGTAACACATCTGACTTGAGAGAGCGTCTAATCAGCAAAGGAGGTTGGGGATACAGTCGAAGAGCCTCTATGACAATAAGTCTAATGTACCTGAAAGCATGAGCCATATGTCAACAAACTGTACTGGGAGCACAAAAGCATGAGTTGTTCAGTGCTGATGCTTCCATGTTTAGGCATAACAAATTTGGCAAGCTAATTTGCCCTGTTTCAACCATGCCCAAAGGGTAAACACTATTCCAATAGTATGGCGCCCCCCCGGGGGGCGGGGGTAAAAAGGAAAAGAGAGAGCCCTATTGAGAAACATGAGTCCAGATGTAGAAATTGTAACAAATACAAAACCCTCAAAGACAAGAAAATGTAAATTGCCACTTAAGAAACCGATCAACTATAATTTTTTAAAGTCATTTAAAAGGTATAGAAAGAGAAACAAAGTCAATTATGATTGACAGCAGAAGCCTACCATATCTCATCCAGCAGGTTAGTATTATTACCAATTCTTCCAGCACTTGAAACACTAATCAAAATCCTCTATACTAATAAGTAGTAAATCCACATAATGAATGAATAACTGCCCTTAAGCACTATTATTCTTTATCCAGTATGTGGATATGCTGTTTTTTCTTTTTCTTGGGAAAAATAATCGTTAGTAATGTTTCATAATTTTTGAATTTTTTTCTTGAATAAAATAATGGACATCGAACTTTAACAGTTAATAAAAAGGTGACTGGACTTTGGAACCTACTGCAGGTTTTTAAGTGATTCAAGAGTTGGTCTTCCATCGCCCAGCACTGAATCCACCTCTGCTTGAGCCTTCTTCATTTTACTCGTATTCTGCAATTAGCAAGTTGGTCAAGATGGGTACCAGAGAGAATATGTTCTGATGAAAAAGAAGCCATGAAACTACTAAAATTGTCCATCATAAACAATATGCAATGCCTAACATCTGCCTGAGGTAAACATACTTGCGCTAGCAGGAAACATGCCCATGTCAGAACTGCAGCTGTGGTCTCATGACCAGCAATAAGCATTGTCATTAAGTCATCCCTTAGCTGTCAAAGAGAACAGAAGGAAGGATAAGCAGACATATTTTGATTCACAGGGACACCTCAAAGGTAACAGCATACCAATATGGGTCCAAGAGGCCAAGTAGCCTTCTCATCTTTCTCGACATGCAGACACATAGGGGACTTGTCAAGACATCCTCTAAATCAAGCCCCGCAATGTATTACAGAAAATGTAGATGTCGAGTCTTAGGGAAACATCCAACATCAGATTTCTCAGTACATTCAGTTGGTCCAACAAACTGATTGGCTACTCATCTAATGACAAAATATTTAGCCAGCTAATAGGCATTCAGAATTTCTGAAATTTAAATTTGTGAAGGCACCAACTTCAGCTATGCCATTTGTTTGATGATATATTTCATGAGGTTTTAACATCCTTGTATGAAATTCAAATTTGTGAAGGTACCTTTTGGTTATCGAGTTGTTGGCATTGACATTGCCATAGTTTGGTATTATGAGTAAGTTTTTTAGTTTTCGTTAGTTAGTTTTATTATTAAGGAAGCCACAATCAAAGATATTGTGGGTAAGTGTTTCAATGTTTATCGAGGACATGGTCGAGAGTAACTGAAGATGCTCAAATCCTTAGTCTATGGTTCAGTTCACTACTGTTCTTTGTTTTTTGGTCATCAATTGGGCATCAGTTGCAAGCTTTATAAGTTTGAGAAAATTTGGTGAGAGGTATAAGAGTCTAGGAAAGCCTTGTAGGTGAAAAGGAGTAACCCTGGTTAGAGGTATTCAAGAAATTATGAGAGCCCAGAATCTGAAAGATATAAATGATTGCAGAGCATTAAAAAAAAAGGATATAATTTTCTTCATGAGCTTAGAGCATCATAGAAGTTGACAAAATAGACAGCCGTTGGGTCTTTGAATGATAGCAACTTTATCAACAGCTCTTGGTAGAGTATAATAGGTTTGGAAGAGAAATACCTGCCTATCATCAACATCAGCTCCACGCATATCAACTAGGAAACGCAAAAGACTTGCATCCTGTTGCAAACTTCTTTTTTCAGTAACAATTCAATGAATTTGCAATGAATTTATGTAGAAAGTTTAACATTTTACAGATAGGTATGGTACTCAGCAAAGATATACAGGCACCTTCAAATTTAAGTAGTCCCTTTGTTGCAGTTTTTCAACATCTGTTTCCTGCCAGAGAAGATACAGATAATCAGGAAATACATAGATCAAAAGAAAAGAAGTTCAACAGCAACAATTTGGTGTGGGTCCAAGATTCTACGACAAAAGATATACAAAGTTGCATGATAAGTCTCTCCTATCAATGCAGCGCACACAGACCATTAAAATAGTTAAATAATAGAGATACTGGTATTATAATGCAAACGACCACAATGAAAGCACGTGAGTGTCAACTCCACGCAATAGATCTCAAATACATACACAACAATGATGAATTGAAACTCAATAGTACTTTCCTACCTGTCTGCTCTCTTTCGCATTTCTGATAAGCCCGTCAAGGCAGCTGTTAATAATCTTCAGATCACTCTGAAACTTTCTTTGCCTTGGGACTATCCAGCTAGCCAATGGAATTTTCCAATATGGAATGTAGAAAGTGGATCTATGCTCAGCTTCAAAAAGAGTGCCATAGACTGCCTATAACATATTTAAAGTAGATGGTCCAATAACTCCCCAGATCAATGGCTTCAAAAAATAAACATGCTCGATGGATATAAAACTATCAAATAGAAAAATCAAGCATTCAAAAGAATTCTCAAGATGGTCTATAATTTCGAAATATAGACAATCATTCAATGGGCAAAAGCAGTAACAGATTACATGTTGAAGCCCAGATGTAAAATATACAATGGTGTTATTTTAAGTGTCTTTCATTTTAGTCCGACACTGAGTGAGAGAAGAAAAACTTACGGATAGAAAGAGTAGGAGAGGAAATGATCAAACGAGAATGGTTAGTATGAAGTATATATCACTACCCAAGAATGCTACTAGCAACTTGGACAACGTGGTTTTTAATTGGTAGAAGTGTCAGTTACTTTGTATAGCTATTTATAGTGTAGTATAAATAGTTGTTGCAAGCAATGTAACAAACAGTCATTACATAACTCAATTATCCATATGAATATGTATAATTTGGTTCATTCCAACGATAGTCTCCCTGTCCTACATGTTACCCTCTGGGGGCAATCGTCCACCCTAGCACAAGATATTCGTATTATATATGTATATACTGTTATGTTTCTTTAAAAAACTTAATCTGCCTCTCTTAAATATATCCATTTGCCCCTGTTGTTTTTTCCCACAAATCTCATTAGCGTTCTCCTAAAGATATAATCTTCTCGTATATTGCTACAGAAAATAAGTTTTGTAAAATGAATAAAATATTGATACGAAATTATTTACTATTTGATTTCTTTGACTATATTTCTTTTGTTGATTTTATGAATCCCATAATTTTATATTATTTTTCTCCTGTGATTTTTTTTAATCATATTGGTTTAATAAATATTTGGAACTATATTCTTGATAAATATAAATACTTATATTTGGCATAACTCCCACCCGAGAGGGGAAAAAATCAATTTCTTGCTCTGTCCAACTGAATTTTCCAGTTAACTTTCATGCTTCTTATTTTTTTCAACATGGTACTAGAGCACTAACATCACATAACTTGAATTCGATCCTAGTTTTCAAACTGCAAAAAAAAAAAACAACAACAAAACAATAACAAGTACAATAATGACACCACTTTTTCTCGAAGAGTTTTTCCCCTAGTGTTCAGTATCTGTTTGATGGTTTTACTGTCAAGAAATTTGCAGTCTAAGCTCTTGATCGCACCAAGGGAATTATTCAAAAAGGAGATTCGGGAAAGTATCTTCTTCAAGACACTCACGTTCGACCCATGTAGTGAAGATTGAAGACTGAAGTAAAAAATAGATGCACCTGAAGGGTTGATGATCAGAAACGTTGGGTTGTTAACAGATTTAGAAGCAAAATTTTGGCAAGACTTATAATGGTGCTACTATGAGAGGGGCCCAACAAAATTCAGACAAATAAGGCACAAAGCATATTCTTCAAATGTATCATTACACTCTTTTCTTTACTAAAAGAAGCATAAGACTGCTTCGGCAATGCATCTCAACACCTAATACATAGACAATAGAATTATTCTTTTTCTTTTTTACTTTTGGGTAAGCAGACAGTTTAAATTTTAACGAGCAACTAATATGCAAACACAGCAAATAGTTGAATATGTAACTGGGTCACATTAGGCAAAACAAAAGGTACAAAAGTAGCATGCATGCCCTCGATTACAAGCAAAGAAAATTAAAATATATTTGAAATGCATAATCGTTTAGACAAACCTTTATGACAGGAGACTCTTTAGTGACAGAACCAAAGTCATAGTTGAAAACACCAAGCCCAATAATATCAAGAGCTAAACTAGAAAACTCTGCTTCGAGATCCAATTCAATTGACTTCCATTCATTATTGCTTTCTGCTGTTTCAAGAAGTTTATGGAACTTTGACACTGTTCTTTCTGAACAAGTTGTGAACACTTTGATCATAGCTTCCAGATATGAAGCATGAAAACCAGGAGCAATGACTGCAAATTTAATAGAAATAAACAAAAAGGATCTCAGGGAGGTAAGTCACAAAATGGTCGACAAAATTATCAGGGGAAAAATAAGCTATAGAAGCCAAAGATGTGAAGCATTACTCAGATTTCAAAAGGCTCATCATTGTTTTAACCCAACTGAACACTGAAGTCTATTAGAATATGAAAGCCAACAGCACTAAGCAGCATTTACTGATTTAGTAATTATATTTGAGAACTTATGTAGCGAGTAGGACACATTACGAGTATGTTTGGATTACCGTTTGGAATGAAAAAAGTCTATGGGAAAACATAAAACTGCAGTTTGTGCCTTATTTAAGACCAAATGGTTGTTTGGATGGAGCTAAAAGCCCAACCAACTTCTGGCCTTCAACCTCAGTTGAACTCAACGGAGGAAAATATGACTTTTCCATTTCAAACTGCAGTTTTATGCTTTCCCATAGATTTTTATAACTGAACTCACTTTTCTATTTAATCATCCAAACAACTTTTAACTTTTCCAACTGACTTTTTATAAGCACCTATCCAAACATAAATCGCATTACATTAACTGACTTTTACTCTAACTTCAATTACAAAAGTTAGTTAGACTAGAAGTCAATTTTGCCAAACGCCAATCCAAACACACCCTACAAATTCAAGGGTCTTAGGCGACTCTTTTGGGCTCGCATGGCAGTATAGTAGGCTAACAAAAATAGCTGAACCACCATATGATCTTCCTTAATATGCATTAAAATAAGCATCATTCCATCCCTAATTCACCTATAAAATATCACTTTCTTCATACTAAATTCCTATCCTCTCGCTATCCTACTTCAGTTAATGTCAAGGTACCTTAATTTTCAATCAAAAGTTGAGTTGCAGAATCAAAGAGAAAACAAAACAGAAGAATAAATGACAAAGATATAACAAATGCTGTTTCAGCACCTCTTCTCCTTTGCTTCCAAGTATCAAGATCTGCAGGTATGAGTCCTTTGCCCATTATTGGTTCCAAGATATCAGCAAGTACTCCCTATTTTATTTTGCAAACCAGAAATAGAACTAAACATAATAATTCTCAAATGTTTTTTGTTTTCTGAACAACCAAATAACTAATCCAATGGAATAGGACTTTGATCATCCTGAAAATC